AAAAAAATGCTGCAAGAAAAATGCAGACGATGCGAGTTAACGTGTATTTAGAACGCTTCAATAAATTCAAATGTCAGACATAGCAAGTATTATTAGAAGAGGCGTGGTAGCAGTTAACAAGGTGGCTGTATGGGCACAAAATAAATATGTACAAGATTTCGAATTTTTTGCGTCATTTAATCCAAGGAAATGGCGAAAAGGGAGACGAAAACCTGCCCAAGGAAAAGTAAGAACTGAGCGATGCCACTATATACTAGGTGAAGAGATGAGATTATATTGGTAACCTGCTCTTAAGATGCTGGAGGCGCTGCCAAATTTATTTGGGTGCTAAGCTGGTGTTTTATTTTTTTACTTCGATAGGTATTGTGTTCAAGCATTGCAGCAGCATCCCAGTTGGAAAATGGCCTAGCGATGACAAAGTCATCGACAATGTTATTGTAGCCGTGTTAAGGAGAAATTTACCATTATCAGGTCGACATATTCTGCTATGTTACTGAACATTTTCTAGTCGGGAAATTTTGTTACCAAATATTGTCACTAGTTATTGTAACCGCAATTCTAGATATATTGCTAACTTTAATTTATTCAGCAATTTAGCTATAAAGTTTTATAGAAATTCTGGTGCTTGTGAGGCAATATTTTGTTACCTGCTTATGAGATGGCAACATAATTTACGGGTTACAAGGGTACACAGAAGTCCTGTATAAATAAACTGGGAATGGGAATTGAGCAAAAAGTTACCCTGAAGATGACACATCACCGAAACCGGTTTGCTCCAAACCAAATTTGACAAAGGAATAACGGAAACTCGTTCCAAAATACAACATATACAAACCCTGTCTAAAACAACAACAACCAAAACGAAAATTGGATTTACTATAATAGCTATCTTAATCCGGCGTCAATGACTTTGGGTCATATTGACCAGACGCAATTTTTAATGACCATATTTCGGTGTTTTCAAATAAAACGTATTTAAGCGTTTAGGTAGATGGACACACAACCTCAATCTATTCATTCATTCATGAAGTCAAAACGGACGAGTATGACACAGTGTCATAAGCATTATGCAAGTTACATGTATTTTTAGTTGATTTTGCTTGTTATAAAGATGATTCTCTGGATCACTGGGACACGGTATCATCGTCCGCGTCATTATTTTTACCTTATTGGTGCCGATTTAATAGAGTTTGTCATTTAAGGCAAGTACGCTCAAAAATCCGAGTCAGAGCGGAAAGAAAACGAAACGAAAAGAAAAAGAAGAAAAACCCAGTCTACAAACGCGTTCTTGCAAATACTCAGGCATTGTTCTCCATTATATTTAAGGCCTACAAAAAGGTTTAAGGGAAGAGTTGAAAAAACAGAGGGATTTGCCGAGGGTAGGAAAATATAGGACTTCGTTATGAATATAGCGATAAAGCTTTAGTCCTTATTAGGGCTTTCGATTATACGCCTTTTTCTAAAACCAGTTTTCAAGCTATTCGAAAATTTCTAAAAATCGTTTTTAATCGTTTTTTTAGAAAAAAAAATAAATAGAACAAACAAAAATCGGTGTTCGGCATTTTTTGAATTTGTTTTCGGATTTGTGTAGTGCTCTTGCTGCCGTAGCCGAGTGTTTACATGGGCTGCCACTCGGTAGGTCCATGGTTCAATTTCTGGTGGGTTAAAAGTGTAGATGTCCCCATTTGTCTCACAGCAACAAGAAGCAGAACACGAATTGGGAGAGAAGTCTGGCCGAAAAAGTAGAAAATGCTTGGAATCAAATATAATATACAGTTGATCCACAAATAGTCTAAAAAACTTCAAAACTCAAAAAATTTAGTGAGATCAATATTTGTATGAAATGGAAAAAACCGATTTGTTCGATAAAAAACCGGTTTATTCGGTATTCGAAAAATCAAGATTTCAAAATAACTGCTTATAGATATGCAAAAAACCCATGGAAATCGGTTCGAATAATCCGTATGGTTTGGTCATTCACGTATGGTTTGTGTCCTGTAATCGATCTTATCCATTGTCATTAGAAATAACGCAGAAAAGCTTCTGAAGTTAACATCCCCATGCCATCCATCTCTATCTAACTATATCAACCACCGGGTAGCGATGAGCTTCCATGTCCTGTAAACTTCTTACATATCAGATGTAGGTTTCCAACTAGGATTGGGTGTTCGTTGTATTAAGGCTATGTATATATGTAAATATGTATGTATATGTTAAGTTCGTTGAAGGAAGAAGTAAGCCAGCCAATTCATGGTGTTCAACTATGCTAAATGGTAATATCAATCATTGTTAATGCAGTGTAAAAACTGCGCCTCGAGGTGGAATACAAACGTGTATATACATATGTACACAAATATGAATGTCTATGGTAAGATAAAAGTTGAAACGCATGTAAGAGCATATACTTTTTATCATAATAAGTATGTACATAAGCGTTACAGGGACAAATGCAAATGCCGTTAGATGCGTAATCCTTGCTGGATACAAAAGCTGCTGGCGAATTTTGCAGCAAAAAAAATATATTAAGCACACATTATTATTTTGTTGGCATTTTCCGATTGGAGTTTTCTCAAACCCACCTTTTCGTCCCTTTTTTTTTGCTTGCTGATCCGTTTTTTTTTCTTGTCGTTGTTCTTTGTATTACAAACAATTTATAAAAATTATTCACGCAATAAATTGTAACGAAATCATAAATAAATACCGGATGTGTATGCCGCCCCAGGCATGCTGAGCCGAGTTGAGCTGGATTGGGTGCACGCTTTTGCCACAAATTAGTAGCACCGGGAGAGCGTATGTAGGTACAGTGACGCAATAAAGCGTTCAAAAAGTGATTTTTTTTATATTCACAATTTTTCCAAACTAAAATTTGTTTGTTTATTATTTTTTTGCAGAAATAATATCCATATCTACTAAAGTAAAGAAAATTATTTCAACCAAAAATTTCAAACTTTATACAAAATTTAGAAAACAATATTCATCTATATTTAAACTGAATTTTTAGAACATGAAATTATATATTGTGGAAGCAAATGCGCATGATAGCTGAAATAAAAAATACAAAAAAAAGAAAATTCTTATAAATTGTATTTGTTACATAAAAATGGAGTATTTTAGACCATCAGCAAAAAAAAAAAATTCAAAAATAAAATCACCCGTAAATTCTTAGTCGCCTCAAATTTGAATTTTATAGCACTAAAATTGTTTGGGCATGCCCAGAGGTTTCCTTAAAACTCAGATTCAAAAGTGTGAAATTTTGCTGTAAACTTCTTGAGATTTTTCAACTTTTATGTAAAGGTTGAAACCTTCATTAACAAGATTTTGTTTATAGCACGAATAACGTTTTCAAAAAATATTAACAAAAATATTTTAACTTTAAAAACATCATGAATAAAAAAAATCAGCTTATGAAGGTTTGTTTGAGTCACTGTATGTTCAAATATACCGTTACATGCATACATGTACACACGTATGTATGTAATACTTTCCTTTGTTGGTTTGGCTAAGACGCTAGCTGAGTTGAGTGTTTCCAGTTTTGCACATCATATTTTATTTTAATGATAATTTGTGGGGCTGCCTTCGGAAAAGCGTTGGTGGCGTCCTGTATCCTGTACAGCTACAGCCGCTGCAGTTTATACAAATATTCATAATTATACTGCCAGTGGGGTTGCCTTATTACATGCCTACATACTTCATATTTTGAGTAATTTTTTCCCACTGCCTGCTGTTTGGCGTTGAAGCAAAAATTATGATAAGCGCTTCGAAAATACCCCACAATATTTTACTAAAAGAAAAGCGACGAAATGTATCCCAAAAATTATTCAACACAAAAGCGTTTTTTTATACTCGTTTTTTTTTTACTGACACAGGTCCCTCTCCAACCACATTTTCTGGCTTCCTCCTTACCTATTTTCATTAATCTACTTTGTTCCAGCGCTAGGGGATACTTTTTTACTCTTATTCAAACGCGCACTTCCACTTATTCGCTGCTTTGAGCTTCAGTTCTTTTCGGACACATAAATTTCACGCTGTTCAATTATTTTTCGATAGCTGAAATTCGGAAAGGTTAACTGCAATTTAGGCCACTTTTCGCGGTGTTTCAGGATTTTCTTCAATTTTTCACTCACAAAAATACTTTTCTCCATATTTTTCCACCCTTCTTTAACAACTTGCGTCAAGCTTTTCAGCTGATGTTCATTTTCGCTTTGCGCCTACTTTTGTTTCCGAAAAAAAACAAAATAAGAATTTATACAGTCTTTGCACTCATGCACCTTACCCTAAGCTTTTAAAAATACACTCCAACATTTTTATTTTATTTTTTGTTCTGCTGCGCGTATTGACTCAGGTGTGGAATTGTTGCTGTACTGTTGCCTGCCGTTTGACTCGTTATCCTTGCCAACTGCCCAAATGGGAAATGTAAAAACTCGGAATATTTATGCGTTTTCCAAGCGTAAATTTATGCAGTCAATGCGCCATCTGGCGTACAAAAATGCAAACAGGGAATTTCATTTGAATTGCAGGAAAATACAAATTCACTAAATTTTCACGGCGGAAAAGTGGGTCAGTAGGAAGTAAGCAGCTGTTAGCAGTGTTGGTGGTGGTTGCGGTATTTGGCAGCACTCAATTGATAAACTGCATCGCATTTAAGGTGAAAACGAATGCATTAATCAAAGTGTAGGAAAGAGGCTCTTCTGTGGGAATTTTTGGTAATGAAGAAAATTTAAATCACGTTGAGTGGTACGAAAATAGATTTATAATCAACCACGGAGAAATTCTTGAGCGGAATTTTTACGATCAGGGAAATTGCATTTCAACTAGTCTTTACCAAAAAGGCATCGAATTTTTAGATGGCAATTGAGAAGTGCATGTGCAAAAATTTCGTAAATGTCATAAAGGAAATTTTTGCACATGCAGCAGTGCATAGCATGCATTTAGGCGCTTGGTGTTAGTAGTCGCGCCTAAAAATGGATAATTCAATTTGGCTTCCTTAGAATTTCACTCACCTTTCCACTGAGCACCGATCGCGCTGCAGATATCTCACTAGGTGGCACTGTGCCCGATTCTGTGCCGAGCGTCTTGATTACATTCGAAAGTCCAGATGGCACAGAGAGCCCATGAGAGTTCTCAGCTCTTACGAGAAAAACATATGAAGTGGCTGGTTTTAAGCCGGAGATCTGAAAAGAAACAAATGAGGTGATGGGTCTTATAAGGACAATATGCACAAACATAATCTCGCCGTCGGATTAGGTGTTAAACATCAATATATCTTTAAAGGGACAACAGTTAAATTATAGGAAATCTTCAAATCAGGTACGTACAACAAATAGTTTTTAAATAAAATATATTCAATAATTTTTTATGAAAATATCATATTCTATAACAAAAACTATATACAAAAGTCCGATTTTCAAAATTTACAATGATTCAACAAATTTTCATCAAACTTTCAAACTTAAAAAAAATTTTAGTTTCCAGTTTTATGTCCGTTTAGTTATAGCTACGGTGACCATCATCCATCCTGTATTATGCGGAACAATCCTCTTTTTTCGTAAATTGTCCTGGTAATTTATTAATTTCATACGGCACGCCAAATGCTCTGTATTTATTTTAAAGTCCCGTATTCGGTATTTTGGCGCCTTAAAAGCTCATAAAAACAACACGCTTATGAACCAGTTTTTATTTTTTAAATCTGGACGCTTGTGATTCAAATCGAGGAGCACACATGTAGATGGTTTCTGAAGTTATAATTTTGCTTAGAAAAACTCCATAATGTCATCTTTGAGGTCATAAGACAAAAAATTTATTCAATAAAAAAAATAAATAAAAATTTGTTTTGGTTGTCGCTGAAACCGAAGATGGTGGCGCCTCGATTCCTCGAGGTCATGCCAAGGTCATCTCAAAGTCAAGTTCAGATGAATTTCAATTAATTTTTAGGTTTATTTAATGAATTTTTCCCTACTTGAACTTGAAATGACCACGAACCTGACGACATGGAGGCTAACGGACCTCGTATTCGCTTTCAGCAACCTGTAAACCTGTGTTATTAATATTCTCTATTCGTATATATTTATTAAATTCAAATCAATAAAATCAAAACGAACATTTCATATGCCGTTTTAACTTGAATGTGCTCTTTATAATACTAAGTATTGGACGTTTAAATTTAGCGGCTGTGGCTCCAACACAGCCCGCGGGCCAAGACGAAGACGCTGGACTTATCCTTTTTTTATCAAATTATCTTTTATGTTCAGTTAATAGTGACCTTATTCCCAGATATCAAGCTGGTCTGGTCTTTTTGGGAACTGAAGTTATGTACCTTCGCCTTAGCCTTTGTATACGAAAACCGCTCCCAAATTACATATTAACTAAAAGCTTAAATCCAACCTTACTTACCAAGAGATAAGCATTTGCAGTATTATAATAAGTATATTAATATTATTTTATTTTTGGCACTTTGTATAAGTGCATAAATATATGCAAATGTATCCATACATATGTATGTATATGTATAGTACTCCAGGCTAACAAACAATATGGGAATAAAGGCGAAATTTGCATGCAGGTATGCAAATAGTACTTGTTCATACCAAAGTACTTAAAGCCGAGCTGTTAGTTTCGCTGTAATAAGATGCAAATGTGCGCTACTTTCGGCGTAAAAAGGCAGTAGTGAGCGCTATCAGCACAAAAAAAAAAATATAGTTTGCCAATTTGCATATACAGTCAGATAGAAACGGCTGCAGATATAGATTTATGAAAGTGTGCAAACATGTAAACAGACATCCGTGTACATACATAGATATGTATGCATAAAAGAGAAAGAAAAATCTATAAGCCAAAAATGTATTTTAGTTATAATGCCTTGGTTTATATCTTGCCATGAATCAGCAGGACACCTGGAGGAACTGGTGAAATCTTTAAGTTACCCTACGGTGTCTTAGTAAGTGCTTATGAATAACGCTCTGTGAATATTTAAGAATGGCACTAAGGAGTTAAATATACAACATATGCTATATACATACATACATAAATATGTATCTGTGAACCTATATATGTATATAAATTGCACACTTACCGTTATTTGCTGATCGGGCA